TTGTGGATCACAATATTCTTTTGAACAAATTAGCAGCTATGAACATAAATAAACCCTTCTGGTTATGGATTAAAAGTTTCCTTTCCGGAAGAGTTCAACAAGTAAATCTCCATGGTACCTTATCATCCATTGCAACATGCCCGGCCGGAGTCCCGCAAGGCTCTGTAATATCTCCCATTCTTTTTAATACCTACATTGATGATTTGGAGGACGCCTTACCAGAACAACTAAAAGTCAGTACGAATAAGTATGCAGATGACTGCACACAACGGGCCAAATAGTGAGCGTAGATTCTAATAGTAATTTACAACAATCTATCAATGAAGTAAATAACTGGGCGGTGTTAAATAAAATGGCAATTAATGCTAAAAAACTAAGGACATGTGGATCTCTTTCACGGACGCTATACCTGAACCACCACGTCTTCGTATTGGAAATGAGTTAATAGAAAGGGTCAACGCTTTTAAATTACTTGGCGTGTCGTTCCAAAATAATCTAAAATGGAACGCACATGTTGAAGAGATTACACGTAAAGCAAATAAACGCCTTTACCATCTTAGAGAATGCAGGAAATCGCCGTTACCAGCTGAAGTCGGTATTATTACCTATCAATCCAAAATAAGACCAATTCTCGAGTATGCATCACCTGTCTGGGCGGGACTCCCTAATTACCTGCGAGATGAAATAGAGCGGGTTCAATCCAGGAGCTTTTAAAAGAATCCTTGGCCTGGAAAAAGATTACCTACCACCGTTGAACGAAAGAAGGGAAGAGGCAACTAGTCGAGAAGTTGATAGGTTTATGAACGATCCACACCATCCCTGTCGCAGTGTTTTGCCAAAATTAATTAACAATCAGTACAATTTAAGGAACATTGACCGGAATCGCAATATATCATTCTTCTCAGGAACTGAAAGGCATAAACATTCTTTTTCAGGAAGAGCTTGTAAATATGTATAAATAGTTTTAACTTATTAGAAGAACTTATTAGATTAAAGAACTTATTAGTTTTAACTTCTTAGTTAGTTTTCTAAATTATCTTACAACAATTTGTAATATAAAGACATATCCGCAGCATATATACTTTCTTAAACAAGTAATTGTAAGTCCATTGTACTTTTTTATCTTAAGATGGATGAATAAAGCTATTATTATTATTATTATTATTATTATATATATATATATATATATATATATATATATATATATATATATATATATATATATATATATATATATATATATATATATATATATATATTGCACAAGTGAACATAACAAATCCTACAAGTTGATTGGTCAAATTTGACGTATTAAACTGTTATATTCACCTACAGGTGAATATAACAAAAACGAAATTTTCAAAATGGCGGCTAGCCGTTTTGTGGACGTTATACTGATAAAGAAATAAGCGAAATTAAAATAAATTCAGTCCCAAAAAAACACAAAAATTGTAAAACAATTATTCGCCTCAGGCTCGGTGATTATCGGGGAATATTCACCTCGACTTCGTCTCGGCGAATATTCTCCGATAATATGCACATATATATATATATATATATATATATATATATATATATATATATATATATATATATATATATATATATATATATATATATATATATATATATAGGCTATATATATATATATATATACAGTATATATATATATATATATATATATATATATATATATATATATATATATATATATATATATATATATATATATATATATATATATATATATATATATATATATATAAATATACAATTTTATCGCCAAAGGAAAAGGGGTAATTATATACTGTATAACACGATATGGATAAGGGGGATGGTTACAGTATAATACATAAAATAGAAGCTGAGTATATCATTTTTTAGCTATCCAGCTTCAGACAGACAACTTGTTTATTTTGTATAAGAACTATACATACAATTTCTATATGTACTTACATACAGCTAGTCGTTGTACGCAAGGATCTTTCGTCTTTCCACTTTCTTCTGCAGTAAAATAATACACTGCCCTCGATCGTAGCTGAGATGTTGCGGCCTGTACTCGTTATCAATCTGATTCTTTATTTTATTCGTCAGACGTTTGGCATTTCCAGACTCTTTACGGCGTTTTTCTCGCAAACTTTTATTACGTCTGTGGCGTTTAAGACGTTGTTCCTCGGTGTAATTTGGTATTGAGAGACGTCGCTATTTTGCAGGTAAACAATTGACAATTCTGTTCAGCTTCTGGCGGCACTGGGATTATAGCTTCGACAAGGCTGCGCATTCCACTGGTAGCAAGTGCGCCACTCGCCGCGTGGGATGCTGGTTAAAATGCGCCATTTCAACCGGCTTTGCGCAAGGTATACCACCAAAAGCTTTACAGAATTGAAGGTTGTTGTATTAATCTGTCGCTGTGAAGTTCTACGTATATAGTTACAATTTGGATTTGTACGTGGGTGACCTCCCTAGTGTACAGAAGAAATTTGATGACAACGAAAGATTACTACTGTGAGCAATAGTTCGAAGTCCTTTCTCGTCGCTTTTAAATTAAGCTGTCACACAGTCACAGTTCGATACTTGCTAGCTGAAATTTCGATATGACTAGACCAGTATGTTTTGCTGTTGCAAAATGTCGTATAGGAAAACAGGCTCCTTAGAGAACAAATGGCCAATGCAATTACAAGGAGTGAGAATGCGCTGAAGAATCTCAACGAAAATTTCATATGCAACAGTATAAATGTGTAGAAGTGAAAACATGAATCGTACTTGTACAACTACTGCAGAAAATACCATCAAGTGATGACAAACATTGTTCTCTTTCAGGCATGTTATTGCAATAATATCCACTTCAATAAAATCTTTCTCGAGAAAAACGAATGAAACATGGTGTTGAGCAATACCACATTGTCTATCCAAAGTTCATGAATGGAAATGCAGTGGTTAGAAATGTTCCAGTGAAACAAAATTTTGGTAGGTTAATTGGCACATTAGGGTTACACAAATTCATGTGTTTACTACCTCCCATATCCAAACAAGTCTGAATATATCAAATGTAATATATATTATTAGACAAAAGAATATATTATATATATATATATATATATATATATATATATATATATATATATATATATATATATATATATATATATATATTTATATCTTGTCCCTTGTATTTAGATTATGTAGACGAAATCTTCCAAACAATGGTAGAATCAATTGGAACGGAAAAATTAAGGATGCAATTGATGAACTCAATAATCAAACACCACTTCCAATGGAAACCATGCTTGATAAGCAGCCACGGGAAGAGGCAATTTCAAAAAAAAGAAGAAGGAGGGTATGCAACTTGCCAATATTCCACCAACAAACCCAGGTAACCCACAGTGAAACTCAATTTTAAACTTATGTATCTATCAATTTGAAACATCACCATCTCCCACAGAGGAATATGAACTTTTGAGAATTTGATTGTTCAAATTCCCCGCCCCCTGGCAAAGTGTGTAAACATACACAACTAAAACAGAAAAATTTATAATTGGGCAAATCCCAAAACGTGTGAATTAGATTCAAATTCCCCCCCGTTGTCAAATTTCACACAACGAAGAAGATTCAGAATGTCAAATTCGCTACTCCCAGGAGACACCTTAAAGTTGAATGCCGGGGAAGGGGGGGAGGCACGATGTTTCAAATTAATCGATACATTTATTTAGACAATAAAGCTAACCAGTACTGTAACTAATTAATGTTGACAATATTTTATAATTTCAGTCCCTGCTGTTACAGTTAGTAGCAAGAAAAATGCATCCAAACCAAGAAATCCACCAAAGTGCAGTGTATGCAAGCAGCCAATGAAAGGCCACAAAAATGTGACTAATTGTCCACGGAACAACAAGGCCTAACAATTATTTTACTGTACATAAATATTTAACATTCAAATAACCATATAAGCTTTCATCGTCTGTTTCCGATTAAGTCGTCATAACCTGTAAATTTATCATCAGTTTTGATATTATGTGTCAAACGTATTGCAGTATATGCACAAGCAGGCAGTGGTATACGTCTGTCCTTTAATTTGCCGTGAATCATGTGGGTAAACTGCCTATATGCAACACCTCAAAGAAATCTACAATATAATAAAAACAATTTTCTTGGTTCAATTTTATACACTATATCAATAGAAATCTGGTGGGCAACATGCAATGTGCTTAACCCCTTACTGGCAGTACCCTACCACTGACGAGTAAAATCGGCTGGCATTGGACAGTGTAAATACTAAAGTTGGACGCATCTAAGTGCATTGCCAGGTAATGGGTTAACAAGAGACATTGCCAGATAGGTTTGCTAACCCATTTACTAGCAGTACCCTACCACTGATGAGTAAAATCATCTGACATAAACAGAGTAAATAATAAAATAGGTTGCATTGCCAGCTAATGGGTTAGTTAACTAATTGTGATGTTGGTTTTCCTGAATAAATACTATTATCAATCAATCAATCATAATGTTCTACTACACAAGTGGCTGCATAATGCATCAGTCAAATCTAAGCATGCCCAACCCCCACCCGGGGCATTTGCCTCTCTGGCACGTCCCAGCGGAGGGCCTTTGTTCAGGGGTAGGGCATTTGAAATTAATATTTCTAAAACAACACAATCACATCAGTTTATCAAAATGCATGATGTCAATATCTTGTGATGAAAAATGTCCCAAACAATGTCCCAAATTATTGTTTGTAGTAATGATAACAGAAAAGCTAGGGTAGCAATACCCCAAAGTGCTTGGGCATTTTGGGGAACACCGGTCACGATTAGAGATTGCAGCCTCAATTTGACAAACTCCATATTTTTGCCTTTAAATCTCTACATGTCAGAATATTTGTCAAACAAGTGGTTGAACTTGATGCCTTGTAAAAACAAATGTCCTTAAATTTACTGTACCTTTCCTTTGTGCCAAGTTGACTATATCGATGTCCATACAAGTTTTAAACGTGTCTGCCGCGAGCTCCAACGACCATCTGTTTAAGCACACTGCTGGGAAACCAGGGTGATCTGAGTGGAAATTCAAATTTTAGCGCCAGATGTTTTTCGCCGTGAAATTATTTCGCTGGCGGCAAAATAACAGAGTGGAAAACGGCCTTAATATTCACCTGTAATGTCTTTGCAGCACAAAAAATGAGAAAAAACAACATCACAAAGGCAATATGGCATTAAGAATTATTTCTATTCTGACTCATTAACGCTACCTCACAATGTGAAAAATAAGTATAGGTTATTTCGAGGCACCTCGGGAATATGTGTTTATTCACCTCAGCGCTGCGTGCCTCGGTGAATAAATATCCCCTTGTTGCCTCAAAATAACCTGTACATATTTAGTCGTCCATTTACTTAACTTTATTATCAACGTATTATTAATAGTAATGTATTAATATACCTATACATATTTAGGCATCCAATTACTTAACTTTAGTATCAACGTATTATTAATAGTAATGTATTAATATATAATAATAATATGACTTTATTTAAGCACGATAATGTTTAAAGCATAAGCTTGTGGGGTCGTGCACTTAGAGATATATACCAGGGGTGGAAAAAG